AATTTATGTTTTATTTAACCAAACATAGTTTTAAATGTACATCATTTAATGTAAATTGTAAAATTGCTCCCAAATCTCAAGGAAATTTTGAAGCTTGTTAAAATATTCAGATTTTGGGGGCACGTCAGTGGCTCAGTGGGTTAAGCCTCTGCCTTCTGCTCAGGTCATGATCTCAGGGTCTTGGGATGGAACCCTGCAATGGGCTCTCTGCTCAGCAGGGAGCCTGCTTCCCCCTCTCTCTCTGCCTGCCTCTCTGTCTACTTGTGTCTACTCTCTCTGTCAAATAAATAAAATAAATAAAATATTTTTTAAAAAATTCAGATTTTTAATTTTTGCATCCTTTTATAAATCCTTAAGATGGAAATGAGTAGTATAAGACAAAACAACAATTATTGACTTATGGGATGTCTCCTGTACTATCAAATATTATGTAAGCCACTACATAGGAGATAAAATGTGTTTTGGCTTGAGGGACTTATATTCATTTGGGGAAATAAAATTAAGTCATCTCAAATAAATATGTAATTGTAGAATGTTTACATTATTTTCCTTAAAAATAATCAAAAGCAAAGATGGGTGGAAGTTAACCACTTTAATCACAGAGGATTTCTCAGGAGGGAGAAAACTGCAGTTCTACTTCAAAGGATAAAAAGGATTTGAAAAGGAAAAAAAAATTCTCAAATTACATCTATTCCTAAGAACTACTACAAAGAGACTTTAAGGGGGATTTCAATTTTCATTCTTGAATCTTTCTATTTCATTTTATTTTTTGACTTAACATCATTTTACCAAACAAGAGTATTTTTAAATAACAAAGAATATTATATCAGAGATCTAAAATAATATCCAGACTATTTGGGGCTAAAACACTTGTGTCATTGTCTTACAAATTAAGAAGAAACTGTTTTCCCAGTGGAATTAACTCAAATAATTATCACAGACTTTTTATTTTCCCCCACCATTGGCCTTTGACCACATAAATTGTTACTAAGGCCTGGCTTCAAAATCGGATAGTCCCTTTGTTCTTACTCCATGTAGCTACTTTATTTTTATACACCTTTGGGTAAATTTGTTTTGTTTTACTCTGTTTTACGCATTTTTATTTATTTATTTATTTATTTATTTATTTAGTTTGTTTGTTTTTGTTTTATGCTTTTTTAAATTATTTTTTAATTTATTTTCAGCGTAACAGTATTCATTGTTTTTGTACCACACTCAGTGCTCCTTGCAATCCGTGCCCTCTCTAATACCCACCACCTGGTTCCCCCAATCCCCCCCTCCTCTTCTAACCCTTCAGATTGTTTTTCAGAGTCCATAGTCTCTCATTGTTCACCTCCCCTTCCAATTTCCCCCAACTCCCTTCTCCTAACTCCCCATGTCCTCCATGCTATTTGTTATGCTCCACAAATAAGTGAAACCATATGATAAGTGGCTCTCTCTGCTTGACTTATTTCACTCAGCATAATCTCTTCCAGTCCCGTCCATGTTGCTACAAAAGTTGGGTATTCATCTTTTCTGATGGAGGCATAATACTCCATAGTGTATATGGACCACATCTTCCTTATCCATTCGTCCGTTGAAGGGCATCTTGGTTCTTTCCACAGTTTGGCAACCATGGCCATTGCTGCTATAAACATTGGTGTACAGATGGCCCTTCTTTTCACTCCATCTGTATCTTTGGGGTAAATACCCAGTAGTGCAATTGCAGGGTCATAGGGAAGTTCTATTTTTAATTTCTTGAGGAATCTCCACACTGTTCTCCAAAGAGGCTGCACCAACTTGCATTCCCACCAACAGTGTAAGAGGGTTCCCCTTTCTCCACATCCCCTCCAACACATGTTGTTTCCTGTCTTGCTAATTTTGGCCATTCTAACTGGTGTAAGGTGATACCTCAACGTGGTTTTAATTTGAATCTCCCTGATGGCTAGTGATGATGAACATTTTTTCATGTGTCTGATAGCCATTTGGATGTCTTCATTGGAGAAGTGTCTGTTCATATCTTCTGCCCATTTTTTGATATGATTATCTGTTTTGTGTGTGTTGAATTTGAGGAGTTCTTTATAGATCCTGGATATCAATCTTTTGTCTGTACTGTCATTTGCAAATATCTTCTCCCATTCCGTGGGTTGCCTCTTTGTTTTCTTGACTGTTTCCTTTGCTGTGCAGAAGCTTTTGATCTTGATGAAATCCCAAAAGTTTATTTTCACTTTTGTTTCCTTTGCCTTTGGAGACATATCTTGAAAGAAGTTGTTGTGGCTGATATCAAAGAGATTACTTCCTATGTTCTCCTCTAGGATTCTGATGGATTCCTGTCTCACACTGAGGTCTTTTATCCATTTTGAGTTTATCTTTGTGTATGGTGTAAGAGAATGGTCGAGTTTCATTCTTCTACATATAGCTGCCCAGTTTTCCCAGCACTATTTATTGAAGAGACTGTCTTGTTTCCACTGTATATTTTTTCCTGTTTTGTCGAAGATTATTTGACCATAGACTTGAGGGTCCATATCTGGGCTCTCTACTCTGTTCCACTGGTCTATGTGTCTGTTTTTATGCCAGTACCATGGTGTCTTGGTGATCATAGCTTTGTAGTAAAGCTTGAAATCAGGTAATGTGATGCACCCAGTTTTATTTTTATGCATTTTTAATTATTTTGGGCTGAAGGCATGTGGTGAGACTCAAGCACTCTCTAGGGAGCTCCAGCTAACGTTATATATGGAGTGTCCAGTTGCTGGATTGTTTGTTCCCAGAACTCTGTAATATCTACTGGGAAATTTTACAACTGCTCCAGAGAAGGAATCAATGTCTTTTCTCTACTCAGTGCTGATGGTGGCTTGCAATTCACTTTAAAATCGCCTCATGATGACCCCTTTCTATTATATTAGCAGTAAATGAAAGCAGTAGTTCCTGCTTTTGCTAAATTCATCAGATTTTATTTTTATACTGGAGAATAAAGTCACCTTTATCATTATATTTGGATCCTTTTAGCTCTGTTGTGAAGGTCCCTGAAAAACTTTCCCAAGGGTCTCTGGGCATCCAGTTGAAAGAAGACCATTCCTATATGTTTACATTACATTCCTATGTGTTTATTGTGCATAATATTGCACCATTGTTTGGGTTCCCTGAGATTTAAAAAAAAAATTGATCTCTTGCCCTCTCCACTGTGTATTTTCCAGAAAATTTCTTCATGATTTCATTGGACTTAAGAAAACAGCAAGGGAAAGAAAGTTTTAATTATGCAAATATAAAAATAATCAAAGGGGGGAGCACACACCAGATAGATTTAATGAAAGCTCAGCCTCCTTTTCAATATTTACTGCTTGTAACCAAATTAAATTTCAGATTATATTTAGTAAGAGGATTACAACATTTAAACAAATAATGACTTTATGCTGCAAAACCTAATTATATTTGTTTAGTCTTCTGCCTTGGATCATTCACAGGAGAGAGATTTGGAATTGCCAATATGAAGGTCTTAGTATTCATTATATCACACACTCTTGTAGGTACTCAGAACCAGTTGCCCTAAAATGTGTCACTTCAGCTTGCAGATATTTTAAGCTGAAAACAATCAAGACTGAAAAGATTTAGGAAGAAACTGACTTTCCCACTAACTGCTTAGAGGAATATTGATAAAGGACCTTCACCAGGAAGAGGGCTATCACCATAGATAACTACATTATAATAAGAACTAAGGGTGGTGGGCAAGAATTAAGCAAAATATATTTGTTAAAATTCCTCTCTATGTCCCATTGTTGCTGTGTAGTCCAGAAAACATTTGTTTGCCAAAAAATTACTCTTTTTCATCTTCCTATGAATTGCTTTCCTTCCCTTTGAGTGTCAGACCCTTTCTTCCTTCTTTAGCTCATAATGACTATAGCTTATCTTACCTATCTTTGGAAACTCTCATGTTTATGTGGATTCCCCATACATATGTAATGTAATTAAATTTGATTCTCTCCTGTTATCTCTCATGTTAATTTAATTCTTACATCAGCCAAAAGACTCTTGAGGGGTGCAGGAAAAGTTTTCCTCTTCTACACCCTATTATTTGCTAACAGAAGCTACATTTTATTTTATTTCGATTTTAAAATTTGTTTATTTATGTCATTGTTATTGTTATTGTTATTGTTATTATTATTATTAGTTATCTCTACAACCAGTGAGGGGCTTGAAACCCCAGAGAGAAATGATCGGAGATCAAGAGTCACAGGCTCTTCCACCGGAGCCATCCAGGAGGTCCCAGAAGCTACATTTTAGATTCCACAACCTTCTAAACCCAAACTTTGGATCTGATATTGAGGTATAATTTGGATTTGGAACTTAAGATATGACACATCTACAAAATAATTTTCTCTCATGGCTTAAGTGAATTTTTTAAATTTATTTTTTAATTATTTTTTATAAACATAAAATATATTTTTATCCCCAGGGGTACAGGTCTGTGAATCACCAGGTTTACATACTTCACAGCAGCTTAAGTGAATTCTTTCTGAATCTTTTTGAATCAAACCGAATTCAGTTGATGCTATTCAACATTCTGTTATAAATAAAAATACAGTACAGAATTAACTTAAAGATGAGATTTTTGGAAATGTAAGATGATTTAAATATAAATCCATTTCATGGCAACATACCAGAATATACCACTGTTATGGAACCTGGACTGGATCCTCACAGAAGAACCAAGTGGCACTCGGAGACTTTGGAGGATCGGAGGTTTATTTAACACTGGTGGGCTCAGAGGAGGTTGTTCTACAAAGGTCTGAGCCCTGAGCATAAGCAGGGAGGGGAATTTATATGCTTCTAGTTCCTCATACTTAGTACTTTTGGCGCGCTGGAAACAGGGTAGGAAAGAAGAACCCAGAAGGGCTTTGAGACAGGGACTGGAATTCCCTTGCTGGTTTGGTCAGCCATCTTAGAGTACAGTTTTTCCCCTATCATTTCCCCCTCTGATGCCCCTTTAGACACCTAGTTTAGAGGGCATCATTATCATATATTACGATGGCTCTGCAAGGCTAGTATTTGGGCAGTGGCTTGCCTGGTAACAGTGTTTTCTATGAACTTAGCAATCCATCTTAAGGTTCCTAAGGCTGCCCAAAAAGCAATAACAATAACAAATTTCTGGGAGAAAGTCCAGTCAGAAGGGGGAGCAATGTAAAGTCCAGTTCCTGAGGTGAGGGTGCCGGTGTCATGCGGACAAAAGCCAGGGACCACGGTGAACAGATGTCCATCAGTCAGTGGGGTCTCATCAAAGATGGAGCTGAAGCAGGTCCTCAGGATCTGGTTGGGCTTTCCAATGATGTGATTCATCCAACCAGTGAGAGACTTCTTCACTCCAGAGCAGCGGACCTATTCAGTGACACCTAAGACCCAGAGTGGTTAGTAAGGGTGGTTAGAACAATGGTGTGGGGGCCTGTCAACCATGATTTGATGGGGTCCTTTCTAAAGCTTCTCAGGAGATGCGCCTTTTGAGTTTTTCCCAGGGCTTGGAGGTGTTGGGACACTTCTAAGTTTCCAATCTGTTCAAAGTCTCCTCTAAGCCTACTTACTATGGGGGGTGGCCTGCCATAGAGCCTTTGAGGTGAATTATAGCTGTAGCAATCTTTTAAATACAGTTGACTAGAATAAACAATATCAATGACCTCCAACAGTTATGCTCTATAGAAGTATGACATTCAGGTCCAGGCATAAGGGTAGTTGGATTTAAAGTCTAACAGGTTTTAGGTATTATTTCAGCCCTATCTATCAGTATAGCCTGGTATTTAATAAGTTGACCTCCATTATCCATTGGGGGCCTTTGGTTTCTAGGACGCTCTGGACCTGATGTGAAGTCATTACAGTCAGGGGCTGTCCCATAGCAAGTATTGAGGCTCCTTTACCAGGAGCACTGTTGCATGCTTAGAAAGCCTTTGTTTACAATTATACCTCAATAGAAGTGGCTTCTTGGATAAATATAACTGAAAAATACCATTAAGCTTTGTCTGAGGTATTAACATTCTAATTACAAAGGATCACTGGCAGGTGGGAGAAAACTTGTCTCAGGAGATAAGGTTATCCCCAAGTGCATTACCCAACCAATCATAAAGAAAGCGATATTATCCATTATCTCCACAAGTCCATAGTTAACCCTATGGAGTGGGGTATGCTCTGGCTTTTAGAGAATGATTTCATTATCCCAGCCACACAGAACTGGTCAAGGTGATAAGTTACACAACTGTTGGGTAATCAGTCCCATTTTCCAGTTATTTAATCATGTGCCATGGGATCCTATTATTATCCCCACAGAATAATAAGCAAGAAGATTGTCTATGTATGAATTGCTGTGGTAATTTCTCTTAAGTTTACCTCAATTTGTCTAGCTTAGGTAAGCAATAGACATTTAAAGACAATCAAATCTAGAATTTAACATCCACAAAGGTGGGTATTATTTAAACATGTTTTTTTTTTTTTCTAAAATAACCCTCATTTCCAGAGATACCCAAATCAGGACTAATTTACTTGAGAAACAACCTGGTCTAATCATTTACTTAAGCTCAGCAAGAACAGTGAGTGATCATATAGATCTTTTAGAATCCGCTTTGCTGGAACTTTATAAGTAGTCTCTAGGTTGAACTTTTAGCAGCCTCTCCAGGCCAGAAGCCAAGTACTTGTCATCAGACATGCCTGCAATACTTTTAAGATTTGGGCAGATTAATCTTCATGAGGTCCCTAAAATATCCTGAGGTTCCTATACCTGTCAGGAAGTGACATTCTTTACTCACTTGGTCAGGTTCCTGGGACCTCTGTAAGCAAGGTATCAGGCCAACAGTTCCAAGGGGATTTATGGCTCCAGGTTTCATAAAGTCAACCTTAGCTCCTTAAAGCTGTCCGGTCATATCTGAATCTATGCATGTCTTTCTCAAATATGACATTCCAGTCAAAACCTTGGTAAAATAACCAATGTTCCCAGTGGTGTCCTGTTACAAGGAGAACAGATTCTTACTTATGCAAATGACTAGGATTGTCATGGAAGAAGGTATACTTACTGAGACCCTTTGAGTTTCAGAGGGTTCAGATAGAAAAGTTGAGTGCTTTAATTTGTTTACAAATGATTATTTTATCATGTTTCTGTAGGTCATAGAAATCTTATGTTTAGTTAATCAGGAAGAGTGAACGTTAAGGAACCAGCAATGTTTTTCAATGAATGATCACAAAACTATAATCATCTTTTTAGTTCATTCAGTCCCATGTTACTGATTCTTGTTCAGTCTGAATGCAGCTTCCTAGTTCTGAAACTTCTTACTCATTTCAGTTTTAGGATTTTTAATATACTGAATACCTGTATCTGTCCTAAAGGTCCTTTATATGAATCCTTTGGAGGTATAACTCACTTTACAAGATAATTAAAACAATTATAAATGACAAACTCAGAATAGGCATGGTTAATGATCTGATAGGAGAGTTCACTATGATACGATTGACAAGGAAACTCAGTTATTCTGTGTTACATAACACTTCAACAGCTAGAACCAGAATATTATATACCAAACAAGCACAGCTAGTCAGTCAACAAGACTTTGTTCATGATTTAAATCTTGGGGAAGTTTGTTAAAACCTTAGAAAGTTTTAAAGCACATGCCTACATAGCATTAGGGATTTAAAGACCTGATAAACTCAAGACATAGAAACTGGTTTACTAAGCAAGCAGAGGGAAAACAACTATTTGCATTTTCTTATCAAGAGGAGACCAACAATTGAGAACACTTTGTCTTTTTCAACAGAGAGAAAACCAACTTTCCATATCAGTGTCTTTTTTTTTAAGGCTTTATTTATTTGACACAGAGAAATCACAAGTAGGCAGAGAGGCAGGCAGAGAGAGAGGGAAGCAGGGTCCCTGCTGAGCAGAGCACCTGATGTGGAGCTCCATCCAAGGACCCTGAGATCATGACCAGAGCTGAAGGCAGAGGCTTTAACCCACTGAGCCACCCAGGCGCCCCCCAGTGTCTTTTTAAAATTCATTTCAATCTTAGTCCATCCTGACCACACATAAAATTCATTTCCAAAGATTTCCTGTCACAAACCTTCTGCAATTTTCCTTTGCATTCAAGTTTTGTCCCAAGCCATTTCTTTCCAAACAACCACCTCATTTAGGACAAAATTACCTTCTCTTACCTTCAACAAAATGTATTCCCATTCCTTATCTTTCTTACATATCTCCTGCTTTTCCACATATAGAGTTGTTTCCCTTATTTCCGTCAGTCTTAGTTATAGTTAGCAGAATTTTGCGCTCTTTAGAAACCTTAATCTCCAGCGAAGACTAAGGAGTAACCATTTGTGAACTGTTACACCAGAATTCTTAAATGACAAATATGTGAATCAGTTAAACACAAAACATGTTTACCAACAGATTTAAATATCCTTAGTTTGTTGTAGTAAGTCAAAAGCACAAACCTATGTCCAGCAATCAATGCTTTAGCACTTTATCCCATTTGGAAAAGACCTAGATGTTCAACAAATTTAATTCCATTTGTCATCCAACCAAAATTTTAGTTTTAGGTTACCAAAGACTTTGAAAACTTTCATAAGACAATTAACCATTTTAGTCATCTTTTTATTAACAACCCAACAGAGGTAACATGAAGTTATTTGACCTTCAGTAAACCTTGATAGAATAAAAGTTTCACGTTTACTACTGATTTTTTTTCTTTTTTAAAAAATATTTTATTTATTTATTTGACAGAGATCACAAGTAGGCAGAGAGGCAGACAGAGAGGAAGGGAAGCAGGCTCCCTGCTGAGCAGAGAGCCCGATGTGGGGCTCGATCCCAGGACCCTGGGATCACAAGCTGAGCCGAAGGCAGAGGCTTTAACCCACTGAGCCACCCAGGCGCCCCACGTTTACTACTGATAATTTAAAAGACACGTCTGTCTGAACTAAACCAACAAACTTAGTTTAAATGCTGAAATATGTTCCACCAGGATCTTTTTCATGGTCAGTTTTCACTTGAGACACATGGGGAAATCTGGAGTGGGTGGTGTTCAGTCCTGGGGGTGCTCTTCTTGCTCCTTGACAGTGAAAGGAGGAGCCATAGTGCCTGAGGCACTGAGGATGGTTTAGAAGCCAGTGATGTAGGCCGCACCCAAGGTGGTGGAGAAATGGGAAAAGGGGGTTGGGGAGGCAGAAGAGACAAAGTGGTGCTAGAGGGCAGAGAAAGGGTTCCCCATTCAGATCATCAGCTCCAGAGGAGCAGACACCATGTTTTCCCGCCAACAAATGGGGGGATAGACAATCCATATTGGGCCAGAGAAGATAGGGAATTTCCCTGAAACAAAGGAGTTTTGGCAGCTGATTGGAAATATTCCTTAAAGTCCCCATATACCCCCATAGGACCCATATACCCCTGAAGGACACCTGGGATCATGACCTGAGCAGAAGGCAGATGCTTAACCAAATGAACTACCCAGGCAACTCCCCCACTTTCTCTTGAAGGTAAATATGAGAGTTCCTTTTATTTTACATCTTGTTTGTCTGGATCAACTTCTCTGTGGGCTGTCAGAGCTGCAAAATTGGGTATCTCCCCACACACACCACTTACAGGGAGCAGGAGCACTGTCTTCCTGCAGCTCAGCTTTAGGCCCTGGGTCAGAGGACTATGGTCCCCACACTTTCTGGTGGGTCCATTGTCCAGAGCTCATCTGCATTGCTGCCTCTGGTGCCCCCCAGGCAGGGCCTCCCTGATAGGCTTTACTTCTTTATAGCCTTTGGGCTTTTTTACTTGGGTTACAAATGTCCTACTTTGGTCCTTCCTATTAGCACAGAATCGGACCTATGGGGGTATAGTTTGGGCTATCTGAAGCCAAGAATCAATATATGGGAATTGGTCAGGGTGACTGGGAGTCCTGACCATAATTTTGTAAATGACCTGGACAGTGCATAGGTCTTAGGGCCCCTCAGAAGGCCAGTCAGCTCCAAAGGTGGCCCATTCCAATTCACATAATGATCCTAATTTTCCAGATGTTTTGATCCCATAGTCTCCTGAGAATCACTTCTTAAAATTTTGAGTGTACAGTCTAAGACCCTAGGTTTTGTAAAGCTTCCAACCATGATGAATGGGGTGGCTCTCTTGGCCACCCTGTGTGTTCCCTCCCTGTGTCACTGGCATAAAGACAAATGAAGGGTGGGTGTCCCTCCAAAGGAAATACCAGTCAGATGCCCACCTGTCTGCCATCCCAGAGAACACCTGGATGCCTCTTAGCCTTAGTGAGTACATATCAACCCCAGACTGGCACCCCAAAGGGGCCTTGCCTTAGACCCTATGAGGTCACCATGGA